TCTTACTGTTTAGAAAAAAAAAAGTACATTTTTGGGACTTGAAACATACACAAAAATTAACAAAAATACATTTTCAAAGTCCCTCTACAACTACAATTTCATCCAGTTTAAAAATAGATATATAAAAGCAGATTTGGCGTCACCTCATATGGACATAGCAGTAAGTACACCATGTGATCTTTCTCTTCTAATGGGAACATGACCAAAAAATATTAGCTTTCATTTGGAACCTATCTTTGGTCAATATGAGAACAGACCAAAAGCCACTCAAAGAGTACTTCCAGCAAACACACACAAGGGTACTCACAGAAAGCACACAAAGGAATACTCAACAGCAAACACCCATGATACATTCACTTACTCACACAACGCTGGAGAAAGCCTTCTCATTCAGGCTTTCATGCCATACACAGAGATTGACCCAAGCAGGACTTGCCTGAACACTCAACTGCAGAAAAAGCAACTTCCTAAGTGGGTTACTTCTATCCATAAATATATATGCAGACGCACATACACACACATATATATTATATATATATATATATATATATTTCATATATCAAGAACAATATTTTGAAAAAAGTTTTCTTGTGATATGTCACAAGAAAATTTTTTCCACTGTCATACATTTTCCCATATATATATCTTTGCACCTATAAATATTACATGTATACATCCATATATTCACAGACATTTGTTTTCATGAACTTTATTTCACTAAACTTTTTGCAAACTGACTCTTCTAAGGACACCTTTTCTCTTTTACTTGTTATTAAATTGTATTCAAATTTTCTTGATGGTTTTACTTTTCTTTTGAACTATGCGAAGCATCATTTCCCTTTTCTTTTCCATATTTGCTGCTGGCTGAAACATCACCTTTTTCCTCCAAAGGGAATTCGCAGTAAACACTTTCATTCGACCATCAAAAAAAGGCCTGCAACGACCAGCAATAGTTCCATGCAACAGTCACGCAAGTTATTTAAGAGAAATTAGCAAAAATATTTGAGCGAATTACAATTTTTTAAATATTAGTATCAATGGGTATCTTAGAGACCAATCAATAACTTAATCCTTTTGCAATTGTTATATTTTCATAGTTATAAGTTAAAACTTGCATGTATGCATAACAATTAAACATGACGGAGTTATGTCCTTTGATTATTACAACCATGGAGGGAAACAGTTATAAAAAGCAGAAAAATACAAAAAGTTGATGTCATTTGTTATTCATTTTGTTTTTTGTTTGTTTGTTTTTTTTTAATATCTTGTGTCAAACTATCTTTCAGATTTTCAATTGCATCTATATCAAGAAGATTCATTAGACTTGAAGTCATTTTTAAAAGTGTAAAGAGCAAATTTCTTTAGTTGAGAATTTACAACTCATTGGCAAAATTTAGACATTATCTAAATTTGCCAAGGATTATTTGATATGTACAAAAATGGAAAAATATCACCATAGTTTGTGTCTTAGTGGCATTATCGCCTTGTTTGGAGTGGATTGATTAAAAAAAGAAAAAATGAAATATAATTGACAGTTTCTGGAATTACAAATGTAAAATTTTAACAAATGTTTACAATTTTCACAGCATTTCAAAAAGTTTTATTCTCAGTTTTTTTTTAATGCAGCAAGTAATGAAAAAAAAAAAAATCAAAAATCAGTTTATTTTTCAAGTCTTCTAACAATTACCATATTTGCCAGCCAATTGGACACAGATTTAAAAAAAAAAAAAAAAAAAAAAAAAAAAAAATGCACCAAAAAATGACCATGTACAATACAGCAGTATCATGTATGAGGACATGAAGACCAGAAAAAATGTGTGATTCACTAGGAATCAGTGCCCTACATAGAGCTTAGCACTGAAACTAGGACTCCTGGAAGTAAACAAACATATCAATAAAAATATCCCTGAAAAATTTGCCCAAGAAATTTATGGAATTGCACTATAATTTGATGCTTGTTTTGTAGAAATAACAGATTTTACAGAAATATTTGCTTTGATTGCTTGCTTTGTGTATGTCTTTGTTGATATACAGATATTGGAATTTGCCTTTCTGCATGTATGTATGTATAAGACTTTATTTCCCACAAGTACCATATTTATGTTTTGTTGTCTATTACTATATCTACGAGTATTCACTGATACTAGTAGATTTGTAGCTATTATGAATGTACTGTGTGCGCAGACGTTGCTCCCTGAAAAAAACTAAAACAATTTTCAATAAATGCATGATGAAATGTACTAAAATTCTTCTTTTCCCAAAAATGTCCTGGTAATTAAACTGTACCTCATTTCTAATAAAAAAAAAAAAAAAGTACTGATAGTATAATTTGTGATAACACTGTAAGTGTTTCTTCATGGTTAGAGAGTATTTCACATAAAGATAAGGTTTAAATATTTTTGGCTGTGATGTGTGCTCGTAAAATATTCCATGTCAAAATCTGGGTGTATCCAAACAGGCTGGCAAATAAGGTACATACAGAAAAAAAGCTGCTTATTGGTATCACTATGGAATGACTGGGAGTTCTTGATAAAAATAACCGACTGATAACATTTAGCAAAGGATGTAAAAAATGGAACAATTTATGGTCAGTTATAAATTCATTGTTATAGAAAACTTTACATCATAAATTCATTATTATTAATATTATTATTAATAGTAGTAGTAGTAAATTGCTTATTATGATCACATTGGGAGAGGGTCTTTTAGATAACAATAACCAGCTGATAACATTGAGCAAAGGATGTAAAAATTGGGACAATTATAAATTCATTCTTATAAAGAATTTTACATTACAAATTAATTATTGGTAGTACAGAGGAAGCCACTTATTGAGATCATGTTGTGACTGAGTCTTAGATAACAATAAACAGCTGATAACATTAAGCAGAGGATATAAAAATTATAATAATTTATATTCCTTGATATTTTCTTAAATTCATTGGTATAAACAACTTTTCAGTATAAAAAAAATAATATAAAATATGTTCACTTTAAATATAATTTTTAATTCATTTTAAATAATATGCTTAGGACTGATTTTGATAATTTTGATAATACACATTTGATAACATTATCTGTTATATATAAACAGCTCCCTCTGTATGCACACACACACACACATATATATAATGTATGCATGTGTACACACACTAAAGAAAAATTTGGGGCCACCCTGTATATCTTTAAAAATCACCTTAAAATGAGATATTTTGCATTTTAAGTAAAAGATGGTGTGTAGGTTTTTTGGGAAAGACAGAGCTGGGATGGATTCAGGTCAAGTGAATCAACAAAAAAGAACAATATCATTTGATTTTGCAAAGACATGCTGTACCATTTAGTTTTCACATAAAAAAATTCATCTTTCAACAAAATAACAATCCAAAATGCTCTTTTAATTATGTCAAAATTACCTAGAGTAAAAAAAAAAAAAAAAAAAAATGGAAATTATGAGTTGGCTGCCTCAATCTCCTGACCTCTCTCCCATTGAATTAGTATGGGAAGAATTGGATAGGAGAGTTTGAAGAGAATACCCAAAGAGTGAGAGTGAGCTTTTTCAGTGTTTAAAGAATTCTTGAGAAGATGTGCCATTTACTTTTTTTCAAAAACTGTCAGAAAGAATGCCAAGGATTTGTAAAGCAGTAATTAAGGCAGGTGGTGGTTTTTATTGACAAAAACAAAATATGATGCCCTTGTATGATAATTTTTCTTATAGTTAAGTGATTATTTTTTTTATCAAAATAAAAGCAAATAAACTGTAGTTACTGAAATTTTATCTTTTACTTTAAAAAAATACAAAAATATCTCATTTTAAGGTGTTTTTTTTTAAAGAAATGAAGGGTAGTCATAAAATTTTGCCTGCTTATATAGGTTGTTCGGAAAATTGTATCACATTTTTAGACAATGAATAAAAACTTGTTCAAATGTTTCTTTTATTTCTTTTTGAAGGAATCCTGAATTTTTATTAGCCCCCAGCAAAAAAAAAAAAAAACTTAATTCAACATAGAATTCCTAACTCAGTGAAGTCAGTGTAATATATTCATATCTATTAATTGGAATAAAGTAAGATAACAATTACAGATCATTATATGACTGAAGAATGAAATTTTAGGTAAAAAATTTTGGTCAACAGAAAATGTCTCATTATTCACAATGCAAGCCCAAATCCAGAAAAATAAACTCAGAAGATCAAATCGAAATTCTACTGAATCCTCTAAACTCAACTTGACACATTAAGATGGAGCACTTTATTAGTAACATGCACTTTTGAAAGTAGTGGAGTGGTCAAGTCAATATTATCAAAATTCTTTTCATCCAAAATTTTTTCAATTTAGAATAAAAGAACTAGTCTTTTGCAGGATTATGTTTTAACAAATAAATTTAGAATTTCTTACATTTGAATGAGGTTTTATTTCCAAAAATGCAACATTACTTCCTAAACTAGGTTTTTTTTTCAGTTTATAAATAGAGATTAATTTTCAAAACAGTAAATTAATAATTAATGCAAAAGTTAACCAAAAAAACTTTAAATTAAAAAAAGATGCAAGAAAAATATGAAAAAAAATTAAAAATAAAATTTTGAAATTAAATAAATGTCTTGAAATAAAATTTTAAATTAAATAAAAATCTATAAATAAAAAAAATAAAATATGAAAAAAGCCAAACATAACCTTTTATTAAAAGTCAATTGAAAAAAAAAAAAAATTAAAATTTTCAAAATCAGGAAATATGATTAAAAAGAAAATTAAAAAAAAAAAAATTAGTAAAAAATATGTTCTTGGAAAAAGTTTTGGAGAAGTATTGGAAATTTCAAATCTTGACCAAATCTGAAAATGGAATTACAAAATTTCAAAACGTGACAAAATAAAAGAATAAAATTCACACACATTAAAAAAAAAAAATCTTCAAATAAATCTTGAGCAAAACTGGAATCCATTTCTCAAAAACATTTAAAGAAAAAAAAGATATGAGAAATGAGGGATCTTCTTTGAATCTTGTCACTAAGCCGACTCTTGTGCAAGGTTGTATGTATAGACACTGCCCTTCTGTAAATATTGCTGATTTGGGCAAGATTTCTTTCTGACAACCTCTATTTCATCTTCATCAGCTGATCTACTGTTACCATTCTTTGCTCTTCCATAACCTCCACCTCCTGGTGTCATCAAACTGAAAACGTCCTGTAAAATGAATTAAAAAAAAAAAGGGTTTAAAAAAATAAAAGAATTTCAATAATTTCGGCAAATATGAGTGTAAATAAATAATGAAATAGTAATTTGGATCAATAAACACACATCAAGAACATGTAATATGAACAGGATGTAAATGATCTGTCAGAGTGGTAGTAGAATTTGTGTGGGTGTTGCTGTAGGCATCTTTTATGGAATAAATTTGTCAGTTCTACACCCATCACTTCTTTTACCTGGACTTTGTTTTTTTTCTTTTTAATTATCTTATCTGAATAACCATGGTTTATTTGAAATGCTCTTATATGACTAAATAGCAGGTGGGGTGAAGGGAACTGCCCCAGGGCATTAGGTCAAAATGAAACTGAGTAGTCTCAATCAAAACATGAACATAATACATTGACTTTTCTTTTGCTACAATGATATATATCAAGTCCATACAGCCCTCCCTTTGTAAACAGAAGGTTTTTTTTTTGGACCAAATGCATTTTTCCTTTTAGATATATATATATATATATATATATATATATATCTGAATGGCCCTTTCACTACAGAATTAATAATTATTGAAATCGAATTAAGTCGACTCCCCATGAAAAATTATTACCTGTAGAACAACATTTCCGCCTGAAAAAACATGATTTCAAAATCCATTTCAGAGCAGATAACATTAGAAAGATTTTAGAGTCCCATGAAATTAAGTGGATACAATGTCTAAAAACACAATATCCAGCCGGGCTAAACCATAAATTTAACAATATAGATAGTACTAATATATAACTCAACAAATCAAAACCTACCCACATTTCTCACCCACACAAGACAGATATGCTTACGGAGGTGTGGAGGCCTCACACTTATACACACACCCACACGAATATACACACTTACACACATCATACTCACTCACTCCCTAATGAGCCAAATGATAACACACATCCACAGCAATACACACGCTTACACATATCATACTCACTCCCTCCCTAAGAACCAAATAACACACACACAAACACTAAACAGAGTCACATCCCCTCTCCAGGACCAATAAAACTGTCAAACTGACCAAGGGAATTCAGGGAAACATAGATCCATCCAGCTCTTATCTCAAATAACAACTTAAAAGAGACTGACCAACACAAGAAATGTTAAAAGATTCATGTTAAAAAGATAAAAACATAAAAAAAACAAATGAAAACTACAGACAAAAGTTCATTTTCTCCATCAAGACATTCATTTCTGTAGTTTACTGCTACCAGGAAGCAGAAATATTTCTTCTCCCAATGATGGCCATTTTGGCCGAAACTAGTCGAGGAATCTAAATGAAATAATAAAAACGAAAGAATAATCTACAACCCAGTGTGTCTGAAGATTTTAATTTTCAATATTTTTTTATTGTTCAAAAAAAAAAAAAAAAAAAAAAAAAAATATATATATATATATATATATATATATATATATATATATATAGATAGATAGATAGATATAGATGCATGTTTCATTAAATAATATAGACAAGTTTTGTCTATTTATTTTATGCAAATTCCTTTCAAATCATCTGATAAGCTTAATAACATTATCATTGAAAGACAAAAGAAAATCATCATATTGATACATGTTTTTTAACCCTATCTAAGCTTTTGGCTTACATAAGCCATCATCAAAGATGACAATAACATTACAATATATTAAACTATAAACGGACATGGCAATAATGATAGTCTGTTTTTGTATGCATGGAAGATTTCCAAGCAACGACAAAGCATACGAGACGCTGGAAGTGAAAAATTGCATCGTGGCTCATGACGTCACACATGATCATGCGAGAGTGAAAACAAGAAGTGTTAAGTATGGGAAGCCATTGGTATAAACCAATTCTGTTATCAATTATAGGTATTTGAGTATATTTGTGGAGTTTTAATAGTTTATTTTGGTTTAGTTTACTGAAACTAAGTAACATCAAGCCTGCTCTATACGTAGATGGGTGACTGCTTAGGAATATCAGGTGCTGTAAGCTTGAATGTGCAGGTAGTGTAAAGGATTGGAGAATAGAATTCAAATTTCTATTGGTTTTGTTATATTCAATTACATGCAAATACCCTTGGGAAAGGTATGAATCCACCTCTTCTACTCCCCAGATATGGATTAATTAGTAAGACTAAATCATTATTATCTCAAAAAAATTCTTACTCTAAAAATATTTTCTGGCTTTAAATAACCTACAAAGGGTTTATAAACTGTAGAAATTGATCAATAAATCAATCAAAACATATACATTCATATAAAATATATATAAATAAATAATTGTGTATTTGGGCAGCAATCCCTCTTTTATACAAGTTTCATTAAAAATGACTGACAAGGTACCGTGGTCAAGATTTTTATTTAATTTTTCTTCCGTTATAATTTTCTTTTTGTTTTCTGGACATAAATTATGTAGAAATTGTCTGAATGTTCTGTTGGAGTGTTTTCGGCTATACTTTTAGCAATTATCAGGGATGATTTATTTTTACTTTTAACTGAATATACGGATTGTTTTATGTATGTACCTAGAGTCGTAGGAAGGTTTTATTTTCCAAACAAGAAGACTCACATTACATCTCTCTGACTATAGTTCAATTAGGTCTCGTTTAAATTCACACAGAGACCTACCAAACTCCATCTGCAACATACTCATTGATAATACAAATACAATAGCCTCATCCATATGTAAAAAAAAGTTTAAAATAATGCAAGCGTTATTAATAAAAAAGAAAAAACCAACACTCCATAATATCAATTATGAACATGCCCACAATGTGTTTGGAAAGTACTTGGACATACAGAACATTTGGACAATTTTTACATAATTTATGTCCAGAAAAAAAGAAAATTATAAGAATATAAGAAAAGTTAAATAAAAAACTTAACCACAGTACCTTGTCAGTCATTTTTATTGAAACTTGTATGTATATTGTTGTAACCTAGGGAAGGTTACTGAATTGAATAATCACATGAAGGTTGGTAATGAATGATAATACTTAGGACAAGAACAACACATATAAGATTTTCCAGCAGCATGTAGAAGTAGTAGTCAACTGCTAGAAGTGAGTCAAGTGAATTCCACAATGAATCTACAACTGCAGACTGCAAACATACAGTATTCACTACTGTATTTATGGTAATGGGGGCATACCCATTATCATCCGTAGGTATGCTACCTGGGCTTTACGTGCTCCACTATTATGGAGCTGCTCCCACTCCCATATTCAAAATTGGAGCTGGCTCCCCTCACACTCCCCGTTTTCAAAAAGGAGCCACTCCTGCTCCATTAAAAAAAAGAGCAGCTCTTTTTCAGTGCTCCATAAAATGTACCTTCTTTCATAAACGTTGGACATTTTTACAATCAATAAGCTGGGTATGAGATATTTTGGTACTCAAATTTAATAAGAACCAACATTTAGCCTGTCAGTATACCCTTTACCCATTAAAATATACCAAAGTTCCCCCAATGTACTTCCTTATAAGGCATATGTCATTCCTAACTCCAAAAAAAATCACCTTACCAAACAGCAAATTTAGTTTTACAAATTTTATCATAAACTGGAGTTTAACTTTGGTAATAGTTGTTTTTTGAAATTTTTGTCTTTCAAGCTGTGATGTTTTTTTAAAAAAATCCTCCTCTAATTTCAAAATGAAAAAGCATCCTTGAAGATTTCATTTTAGCATTAATTGAAAGTTAAATGATTAAATTTACTATCTCCACTCAGTAAAATATCCTGTTGTATTTCAAATAAATATTATATAGATTGGAATCTCAACTTTTTGGCCAATTTATGAAAGTTTTCTTAAAAGTGGCCATTTTCTTAATTTTAAGAAATTTTTAAACAAAAAAATTTACTTAAAAAGTGAATTTGAATTTTATTCCAGGACAAAAAGTATCATTTCAGACCAAGAATCAATTTTAACAGTTGAACGAATATCGAGGGAAATAGGCAAGAAAAATCCAACGCAAGTTATTACTCGTAAACTAAAGATTTATTTATTTATTTTTTAATAACTTTCAAATGATGATAATAATAATAATGGAAAAATTGTGTACAAAAGTAAATTGTCAATAAATTAAAAAGAAAACATTGGTTTATTCATTCATCCAGCAATGAAAATTTGTCATAAAAACAAGAAAAAAAAAGTTCAAGCCTTTCTTCCCTCACACCATATATCTACAGACAGCTTTTATACTCTCTCTCTCACCAACACTCACACACACACACATACATACACACATATCTAATAAAAAATGACATCAAAGACTTTCTACACTGTTTTCTGGAACTTAAAAGAAATGTACCGGACATCAGAACAGTAACACCTAGGTGTCAAAGTCACTTGCCTCTTTAACCCCCATCACACCCGAGTAAAAGTTGAAATAGTTACACATAAAAATGGAAACTAACACACACACACACACACATTTTCACTCACTCACTCTTACCACAGATATAATAATAAAAAATAACTTAAAGAGTTTAGCTCAGATTTTCCTTTCTTTTCATTTTTTTATTGTTGAATACAAACTAATGTTTAAAAAAATTCAAATACAGTGTAACCCGGATATAAGAAACCCGGATATAAGAGAGATTTTCTCTGGTCCCAAATTAGAGCCTGTGTTAATGTATATAAAATAGACCAAACCCGGATATAAAAGAAAACCGGATATAAGAGACTTCTTCTCCGGTCCCAACAACTCTCTTATATCCGGGTTACACTGTAATTTTGGAGTGAGGTGCGCCTTCAAATATCACTCGCACTATTAAATAGAACTTGCTCGATAATACTCGCTCTGGTTGAATATAAAATGAGCCCCTCTTCTCCTTTGCTCCAGTGAAAAGTAGCGCGCTCCTTTTTGGAGGGCTCTGTAAAGCCCTGCTGTATGCTACGATATACAGTGTAACCCGGATATAAGAGACCCGGATATAAGAGAGATTTTCTCTGGTCCCAAAGTGTTCCCATACTTACCTAAACAAAATAGACCAAACCCGGATATAAGAGAAACCCGGATATAAGAGAAACCCGGATATAAGAGACTTCTTCTCCGGTCCCAACAACTCTCTTATATCCGGTTTACACTGTGTGTGTGTATATATATATATATATATATATATATATATGAAAAAAAGAGAATGAATTGGTAAGAAAATAGATATTTACCCCAGCAGTGACATTGACTGATGTTTTTCCACCCAGGTTGACAACACGCCCATCTGCATAAAACATGAGGTTACTGCCTCGTTGTCCTTGTTGCCCACCTGAAAAAAAAAAAAAAAAAAAAAAAAAATGGGCTGCTGAGTGAAAAAGAAAAGAAACTTTTCAACTAATTTCATGCAAAAGACCTTCCCATTGTATCTTGGAAGAGATTTCCTTCAGCTTCAAAGAAAAAAATATGGAAACTTTAAATATATCTTAAAAAAATAACAGATAACCAGTTAATTATTTCTCTATTTATGTGCCAAGTCCTTTCAAGATATGAACAATCATGGCTCGCCACATTTTCCTGTCTTTTGTTGCTTTAATCACTTTTTGACTTTTTACTATCTCTTTTTGTTCTGGATATGTTATCCATTTACTATTAAATAATAGTTTAGTAGTGTTGTATAGGAATAAAGTGTTGCTGTCAGCACTTGAGTTTGAACATAGATTGCCAGTGAGCAAACACAGGTGATCCCATTATTGAAGTATGTAGACCACATGACTAGAGGAAATGCATATATGTAGGAAGTAGCTGACGACTAATGATCGCCATTTCTATTCTACACTATTACTATTTGGATTGCTATTTCTCTTCTATTACTATACGGACTGCTATTCTCTACACTATTCACTATACTATTTCTCTATTCGGATCAATATATGGATTACTATTCGAGCGAGTATTATCAAGCAAGTACTATCTATTAGTGCGTGTGATATTTGAAGGCATCTGACTCTAGCATTGTTCAACAGTGTAACTGCGATTACAAAGTCTCTACTATAACGAGCATTGCGAAAGTGACAAGTATTTGTCGACATCACAAAAAGTAGAATATTATTTTTAGAGGAAGTGTATCTTGGCTTCAAAATGTTAACCAAAATAAGGAAGTTGATTTTGATTGGCTAAGCTAGCGTGGGAACAGGATAAGAGAAAGGTTTCAGCAAGTTGTTTCTTACCCATCAAGTCCGAAACGGCTCCCCAGTGAGGGGTGCTGACCCCTACTGGATAGTTAGATAATCTACATGTGGACATGATTAATAAAAATAGTTAACATTCTCTGTGTTTGGAGTCTTTCATTGCCAAACTGAAACAATTGACAATCATGAACCAAGAGAAAAAGCCAAGCTGAGATCATTCACTGCTGTCAACATGTAACATTACTAAGTAGGTGATCATGGCTCTCCAAATCTTCCTGTCCTTTTTTTTGCTTTAAGTCACTTTTTGACTATTGACCAACTCTCTTTGTTTCCATTCTGCTATCCATTCACACAAACTCGTTACTCAGTGTTTCCCCTACCTCTCTTGCATTCAGTATGCCCTGTGAGTGTTAAATTCTCTAAGCACCCTTTTCTCATTATGTACCTCATAAATTTCAAATTTTTCTCTCTGATTAAAAGAATAAGTTTGCTTTTAGTTCCTACTTTCCTTAAGATTTCTTCATTGTTCCCATGTTTTGTTCACAGTATCCTTAGCATTCACCAGCAGAACTACAATTGTCATTTCAATCCTCTCCTTCCTCTATGAGGAAATAGTTTAGCATTCACTGCCATATGACAGATTAGATATGACATAGCAGTTTGGTACTATTTTCTTTTGTTTCTAATGACACAATAATGTTTTAATACATTGCTTAGCTTTTAAAGAGCATCTTTAGCTAATCTTATATACTTTCAGACTTCTATATCATAATTTCTACTTTACTATTATACTATTATATATTTAGTGTTACTAAATTGAAAGCTTAGAAATGAAATCTTGGTACAAATCTTGTGTTTGTAGAATGCGTAATAATAGCCAAAACAAAAGTGAAGAAGATGAGACAAAGTGGAAAATTTATTAATGACACATTTTGACTTCCTCAGGTTAGAATCTAAGAAAAACAAAACTGTGTGTGCCTTGGGATCTCTGAGGATAAGTGGGAATCCTAAGTCAATTTAGATTACCTGAGATTATCACCTCCCAATGTCCAGTCTTAGGAGAGTGTTTGCTTTTGTTATCTAGATATAGTAAAGTCTTTTATATACCTGCATGGGTGTGTATGTATGTACATATGTGTACAGGTGTATATATAACAAAAAAATCCCTGATTTAAAATCCAACAAAATGAAATGGCTCTAACACATTTATAAATAAAACAAACAGGCAGACAGACACTAAGATTGAACAGTGGGTGGTGATAAGCTAAAGCAATTCAATTTGATTTATGATTCAACTTATCCTCAGAAATACCAAGGTATTTTTATCACACACAGTTTTGTCTTTCTTTTATTCTAACCTGAGGAAGCCAAAGAGCATACAGCCAAAATGTATCACTAATAAATTTTCCACTTTGTCTCATCTTCACACAAATCTTGTCTTAAATAAATCACTTCAATATGAAAAGAAAGCACGGGATTATATTGTCAAGTATATTTGTAAATGGTAAATGCTAAATATTTACAGAGACATGGTGAAATACTTATGGAGACACATGGTAAATGCAAAATATTTACAGAGACATGGTGAAATACTTATGGAGACACATGGTAAATGCTAAATATTTACAGAGACATGGTGAAATACTTATGGAGACACATGGTAAATGCTAAATATTTACAGATGACATGGTTTAAATACTTATGGAGACACATGGTAAATGCTAAATATTTACAGAGACATGGTGAAATACTTATGGAGACACATGGTAAATGCTAAATATTTACAGAGACATGGTGAAATAAACATAAATGCTTATTTACAGAGACATGGAGAAACATGGGAAACACATAAATATTTTACAGAGACATGGTGAAATACTTATGGAGACACATGGTAAATGCTAAATATTTACAGAGACATGGTGAAATACTTATGGAGACACATATGGAAATATTTACACACATGGTGAAATACTTATGGAGACACATGGTAAATATTTTACAGAGACATGGTGAAATACTTATGGAGACACATGGTAAATGCTAAATATTTACAGAGACATGGTGAAATACTTATGGAGACACATGGTAAATGCTAAATATTTACAGAGACATGGTGAAATACTTATGGAGACACATGGTAAATGCTAAATATTTACAGAGACATGGTGAAATACTTATGGAGACACATGGTAAATGCTAAATATTTACAGAGACATGGTGAAATACTTGGAGACACATGGTAAATGCTAAATATTTACAGAGACATGGTATATTATGGAGACACATGGTAAATGCTAAATATTTACAGAGACATGGTGAAATACTTATGGAAAATGCTAAATATTTACAGAGACCAGAAAGTACCCCATGGAATTTCCATAACTCTAATTAATAAAGATGTTTTAAATGTAGGAATATTAAAAATATCCTATCATAACATAGGAGGTCTGATCAAAAAGTATTGGGACTGTTGCTGTGCTAATGTAGCTAAAGTACCCAGAGTGAAGCTATTAAATAAATATTGACTTTGAACTCTATCAAGAATGCACACAAGGTTATAAGGTTCTTTCATTGTTTATAGCAGTGCTTGGAAGGAAAGTGTGTATAGTTGTCTCACCAGAGGTTCCATCAGCAACCATGGTTTGTGCAGCAGTTTTTGGTTAAGCATGACATTCCCCAGGCCTGACAGCTAGTATATTCCCCAAATTTCACCCTTTGCGACTTTTGTTCTCTTTCCTAAAATCAAATCTCATTTGAAAGAAACAAGATTTCAAGACATTGAGGAAATCCAAGACAATGTGATGAGGCTACTGATTGCTATTCACACAAAGGAGTTCCATGAATACTTCCATCAATGAGAACTAGGCTGAATAAAGTGTGTGGCTTCAGAAGGAGACTACTTCGAAGTGCTGAATTGATACATGTGATTTTCTTTTTATAGGACCAGTCTAGATAGTTTTTTTTATCAGACATTGTATAGACACTACTTGTAAAATATATATTAAAAAAAAAAAAAAAGAAAGAAAAATAAGTAAAAACAAAAATAACATTTGCTAAATACATTCCACACATTCTGGAAAATTTGTCAGCTAGATAGAAATATTTTTAAAAAGACCTATAAAATAAACTATAAAAGTTAAAAAAGAAAGCAATTAGTAACACTAACCATTTGCCCCATAAGGGTGATACACTCTCCTCTCTGTGAGTACAGATAAGTGAAGCTTCTTTCGGAAGAGTAATTCTCTACAGACTCCATCCCCTCCTTTCCAATGCCCTGCTCCTCCGGTATTCTTGCCGAGACTGAAGTTACGAAGGACCACCGGATACCTGAAACCAATCAGATACAGCGAAAAAGAAGAAAAGTAGTTCAGGAAAATCTTTAGAACTAATAATTTTTGTGCTTGAATTTTGAAAATTAGGTTTTGTATTATTAAAATCTCATTATTATTATTATTAAAAGTTTATTATTATTATTAAAAGTGTACTATTATTAAAAGTTTATTATTATTATTAAAAGTGTACTATTATTAAAAGATTATTATTATTATAATTATTAAAAGTTTATTATTATTATAATTATTGAAAGTTTATTATTATTATAATTATTAAAAGTTTATTATTATTATTAAAAGTGTACTATTATTAAAAGTTTAAAAGTTTATTATTATTATTAAAATTATTACTATTATTAAAAAGTTTATTATTATTATAATTATTAAATTATTGTTTATTATTATTATAATTATTGAAAAGTTTATTATTATTATAATTATTAAAAAGTTTATTATTATTATTAAAAAGTGTACTATTATTAAAAGTTTATTATTATTATTATTAAAAGTTTACTATTATTAAAATTATTGATTATTATTATTATAATTATTAAAAGTTTATTATTATTATAATTATTGAAAGTTTATTATTATTATAATATATTGAAAGTTTATTATTATTATTAAAAGTGTATTATTATTAAAATTATTGTTTATTATTATTATTAAAAGTGTACTATTATTAAAAGTTTATTATTATTATTAAAGTGTTAAAAGTGTATTATTAAGTTTATTATTATTATAATTATTAAAAAGTTTATTATTATTATAATTATTAAAAGTTTATTACTATTATTAAAATTGTACTATTATTAAAAAAGTTTATTATTTATTATTATTATTATTAAAAGTACTATTATTAAAAGTTTATTATTATTATAATTATTAAACGTTTATTATTATTATTAAAAGTGTACTATTATTAAAAGTTTATTATTATAATTATTAAAAGTTTATTATTATTATAATTATTAAAAGTTTATTATTTTTAAAAAATTGTACTATTATTAAAAGTTTATTATTATTATTATTAAAAGTGTACTATTATTAAAAGTTTATTATTATTATTATAATTATTAAAAGTTTATTATTATTAAAAGTTTATTATTATTATAATTATTAATAAAGTTTATAAAAAAAACTTTGTTATTATTATACAATTATTTCTTTAGACTCATTTTTCACCTTTGTTTCTTTTCAATATCTCAACCACAACCCTCTTCAACCATCTGCAGGTGTCTGTTACATCAAGTGTCTGTTACATCAAGTAACTTTTCAGGAATGTTGAAAGGAATCCTTAATTTGATCTTTAGAGATAACTTCAGTCAGATCTCTAGTATTCTTCTGAAGGCTACATTTTATTTATGTCATTCATTTTTTTTTCAATTATGTATTGCATTTATTTATATGTTTTGTATATTTTTCCTTAGTCCTAAGTTTTGACATTAAAAATAAGGTTATTAGCTGTAGGTTATAGGATTTTATTTAGAATTTTTGCAAAAACATGGTTGTAGGGACATAGTAGGAATTTGATTTTGTGTCAGCTTTTGGAAATTAACTCTGATCTTTTATTTAAGTGTTTCTTGTTCTGGAAAGGACATTAAAGCTCTATTATCCTCTAAGCAGAGATTACATTGTTTTGAGTTGCTGCTGGTGCTGTAAGCTGGTGCTGTTTTTCTTATTTTCCATGTCCTTTTTGGTATGTTTTGGCTTACATGCTTTGAGAGGGTTGTGCTGTTTGCATTTTTTATTGTTGAATGATGTTTTGTGTAACTTTTGTTTCCAAGGACGTCTGTCATATATTTTTTCTGTATTTCCTTTAGATCTTACTGTAGTTTTATATATTAAATTATTTTGTAGGCTGTTACTGCTTAGTGGGCATTTACACATTATTCTGCAGTTACAGATAATGAATGTAGGTATTGGTGGTATACTTGGGATTTTTCTGTTGCATTTTTTATGATTGGTAGTATGTTTTTGATGCAGCTATAGCTAAGTTTTAGAGAAAATCTGTTAAATATTTTGTGCAGTTTGATTTTGCAAAGTATTTAGGGATAAGTTTGATGAATAAATCTTTGGTTGCATGAAATTTAATTTGCGTTGAATTAATTTTTAAAAATTTTAATCTTGCAGAAAAAAGTTCAAGACAATTCTGAGAATGCAAAGTGCTCACCTTCGTTCCAAGATTTCTGGGTCTGTTATTCTTGTATTTGTCATGTGTGTGTGGACACCACTACGTCCATGCCAACCTGGTCCCTAATAAAACAAAGAAAATATTATAGCATATTTTGCTAACAATTTATATTATGAAAATATCTTTATTCATTTATACAAAATGAAATATATTAAGTATATGGTTTATGATGTGTATGCATTTTCTGGTATATAAACATTTAGAAGGGTTAAAAACTAAAACTAAAAACTATTTTAAAAAGATGTTAAAAATAAAGATTTGTTAAAAATATAAAAAATACAGATGTTTTTTAAAAAATATTAAAAATAGAGATTTTAAAAAATGGTAAAAATAAACATATTTAAAAAATATGTTAATAATAAACAGTTTTAAAAATATTAAAGATTTTTTTAAAGCACTAAAAAAAAAATTTTTTTAAAAATAAAAATGTTTTAAAAATAAAGATTTTTCATAAATGTTAAAAAATAAACATTTGGTTTTAAAATGTTAAAAATAAAAATGATTTTTAAAAATTGTTAAAATAAAAAAATGATTTTTAAAAAATATTATTTAAAAATATTAAAAAAAAATATTAAAAAAAAATATAAGTTTTATACCAAACAATTTTAAAACCAAAGACTTCTGTTTTTCTTATTCCATATATTATATAGATGATGATGTAAATAACAGCAAAGGTGAAAACAATGTTAATGAAAAATTTTCATTATTTGCTTGATCTCTTGATATTTGCTGTATGAATCATGACTCAGTAAATATGGAGCCTTTATTATGGTTACATTGATTATTGTTCATTTCCTACTAATATGTATTCAAGAATATGATATTCATATTGCTTATCCTGCCATCCTTCATATGATTTGTCAACATTTTCATTTCTACCTGAAAAGGGTTTACCTTTCTTTTCTACTTTCACTTTATTAACTTTTTTTATACTAGTTTATCCATATGACAGCAATATTTAAATAATTTTGCAGTTGTATTGTACTTATAAAATATTTTTTTAAAATTGCATTTTCTTGCTTATACGACTCATACCAGAGGTCCAAATCAAATTTAGGAACATTTGAGCTAAGAAGAGTTGATCTGTGGTGACCCCCAACATGTACTGGATTCATTTTAAGAACTATCAAAACAAGTGTCAGAATGCCAAAAAAAAAAGCAAAACAAAAAAACTAGGTGCTTCAGAGTAATGACTTAGTTGCAGATGCCTGCACAGGCAAATTTTGTTTTTTTTCAATATTCATTGCGCCAATCTGTGTTTTATTTTATTGCAACTATGCTGAGCAGATCTTAGTTACAGTCTCTGGGAGAGAGCGCATGATCTGGGGTGATCAAATGTTGAACAAGGCCAGTAGATTTGAACCCTCAGTCATGATAACTTGTAATTTGGTCCAAACATTCTCATCTACTCAATTTCATTCACATGGCTCAAGTCAATCCATGATATGGTTTTTAGGCATTTCTCAATAGCACCAGATGCTGGGCTCATCTCCCAGATCAGTATTATCAGGAAATCACATCTTTGAGACATTGAATATTGTGAGATTCAAACACGGGATCATGGTTGGAATACTAACACTAGAACCACTTAACCACAATAGGGATAAATACTGCATTTTCTTTATGTGCATTATTTGGGGAAAAAGCTTCCATCTTTGTTATTAAGATAAAGTTTTGGATATGTAAAATATTAATTTAAGAAAACCTGACGAATGTGTCATCTGAAAGGTTGTGCTTATAGTAAGAATAACGTCAGTAATGTAGGAAATCAAGACGAGTAATGTACTTGTTAGTAAAATTTGGTTAACTAAATAGTTGTTGAGATTTTGATATAACATCATTTTTAGAAAAACTTAAAATAAATTCATATAATAAAGAAATCTTGACCACTGACCTCAGTGAGTTTTAATCAGCATCCCCCATTTTTTAAATATGCTTTTGTTTTTTGGAGAGTAAACAAAAAATACTCGTTTTAAAAAACATGTTATTTGTTGGAGTAAAGAATTGTCTTTCAGAACAAGATTTGATATTCCAAAATTCAACTGACAAGACGAGCATTTTTTTGGGGGGTGGGGGTGGGTTCAAAGAATACAAGTTGAATACATACGGCTCCAGCACCACCAGCCACAGTCTCATAATATCCTGTATCTTCATCTCCAAATGTGATGTTATTCATGCAGCCCTGAAGAGAGAGGGTGGGAGGTTAAAATGGTTTCCACAAGATATCAGGACAAAACAAAACAAGAGAAAGCAATGAAAATCAATTTTGATGATTAGAAATTGTTTATAATCAAACACAAATGGAAGACATTCAAGTAACCATTTTGTATATTCACTTTTATTGAAATGAGCAAATTCTATTAGTTACAGGAGTAAAATATAAGAAACATGATGAGATAAAAAGAAACAAAATGAAATATAAAAGCAAAATATAATATATAGCCCAACATAAGTCAGATAAAATTAAAGAGAATTGATGATAATAATAATAATAACAAATTCTTGATACTTTTTTTTTTTAATCGTTTCACCTAAAGCAAGCAATCTGAGAAAAAAACATTAAGAAGAGGGGACAATAAATGAACAGGAATTAAGAAGACAGAGATGATAATTGACATTGCATTTAAATTTTTGATGATCCATGTTTATTGGAAAGCAAGAAGCCACAAGAGGGTACCACAAACGAGAAGTGCAAGAGAAGAAACTGTTAGCACAGAATTTATGGTTACATCTAGCAATTCCAACTGTAAAATGATGAGACCTTGCGACGAATCTAGGATTGTGCTTAAATTCAGGAAGTCTAGGTACCAAAGAGGAAAATTTATCAGAATAATAATCCATGTAAATATTTATAGAAAAGACACAGGTAAGGTATGTTATGGTGGTGGGAAAGTGACTTAAACTGAGATGCCAGGTCAAGGCTGATAACATTGCAGATTTTTTGTATATTGATCAAGAATCCCTAAATATTGGGTTTTGTCTATTTGTACCCACTGTCTCACTTTATTTGTCAATAATAATAATAATAATAATAATAATACTGATCCTTGGTTGTGTCATCAAGTGTTTCAGAACTTGATAATAGATGTGCAAATAAAATTTCTTTAAAATTAGTGATACTTTCTGAATTGGTTGTGTTATTTACACTATTTACATTGTTGTCCTCATCTTTATGGTCATATTCACAACATTTCGGCTGTTGTACACTGACTTTCTTCAGGTGATATACATTGGAATTTTAAACCAACCCTTTATTTAGTCCATGGGAGGAGAGTGTTCTAATTCCACAGGCCATGCCTTTTTTTTTTTTTTTTTTTTTTAAATAGATATTTCAGTTTCAGTTAATTCTCTTTAGTAACTTAACTCTGCAAGTTTTTTTTCCCTTAGGTATTCAACTCATAACTCCATTGGGCCATGTGTCAATAAAAATGAGGATAACAGTCTAAATGATGTAAATAGTTACAATACCTCATCTCAGAAATATAGACAGATAATGGTTGTATCATATCTGCATAAACCACAGATACCTGCACAAATAGAAATTGCTATTTATAAATTAAATACTCCTACATTTCTATAAAATAAGGTGAAAATAACATTCTAAATGCTTAGCGATGCACTTACTTAGTTCAAATAGCAAGGTATATGATAATAATCCCCTCTTTAAAATATTCTGACATAAAAAAAAAAAAGATATTATAACCTGAAATTGATATAGTGCATTGATTATATAAATATATCTTGAAAATTTAATATCAGTCGGTTAATTAACAATTTTACCTGTAGTTGTATGATAGGCCCTATCATCTGAAATAAGCATTTTGTTTCAAATTTTTTTCTATATTATTATAGATTAAGTACTACAGGCCACAAATATGAAAATTTTAATTATTAGATTTTATAAAAACAGTGATGTGCAGAGGTTTGGAGATGCTAGGGCCAACTCCTTGATTGTACGCCCCTAAGATTCAAGTAGGGGTTAGGCTATAGGGACTAGAATTGAAAAATGTAAGAAAGGAAAACATTTTAAATATGTAAAAACAGATGAAACATGAAATAAACACTTTATTCAATTTAAATATAAACTAAATTTTTATTTCCCTCTTTCATTGGATGCTCTCCTGATATAGATGCCCGGGGGCCATCACACCCTCTGCCCACCAACTTCTACATACTACTGGGTTCAGTTGATTCCCTATGTTGGTGAAAACAAAATGTGTGTCTATCATTTCTTAAAAATTTTAAAATATTTTTTCTTAAAACTGGTGTATGTACACACATACCCATACAAGAAAACAAAAATATGCATTTCAGATTGTAAATTTTAAAAATTTTTAATTTTTTAAAATTTTAAGAGATCATATGTTATGAGTATCTCTAAAAATTTTATTTTAACTACTTTTAAAATGTTAGCCTTACAAAACGTTTTAAAATGTTTAATCGTCGAGATGTTTTATTTTAGTACACATTCTTTTGAGAGAAGTGCATTTTTAAGGACAGATGATTTATGTAAAAAACTAATTTTTTTCCATTTTTTGATGGTAATCCTTGCTATCAGAAATTGTTATCCTGCCTTAGTATGTGCACAAAAAGAAACTTCTGTACAAACATTGTATATTTACTTTTAAATTTTACACAGTGGCTAAGTCTTATTTTGCACCTATTATGACTTGCTATTCCTACTAAGTTTTTGTGTTTGACACAAGAACTTAGATTTGGTAGGGAATAAAATTTTTGTATATCTTTTGTTTTGGCTTACATCTGGGGATCAATTTATCATGAATTTAAACAGCAGACTGGACCCCCCCACACACACACACACCCTATTAACTTTTATGATATTTAATAAAATTATTTTGGATATTTGTTAATCTCTAATATGAGAAAAGATATGAAAAAAAATTTTAAAACTCCACCCACTTTTATTGTGAAAAAATTGAATTGCATGATAAAATCTATACTTTCAAAGTGACTAAGTCATTATTTTCAGTGTCAAATTACACAAGCATTTGGTTAGTCTTTCGTATTACTTACTTGTGATGCAGCACAAACACCAAATGCTTTAAAAACAACATCAACAATTCTTTGTGAGGTAAGCACATTGCCGCCAACAACAGCTGCATTCTGCGAGGGATCTAAAATGGAACCAGGGGGAATAATCACTTTGATTGGTGCCAGACATCCCTGCAGATGAAAAAAAAAAAAAAAAAAGAAAAGAAAAAGAAAAAAAAATGCTAGATAACTTTATTTACTTTTTAATTAATATTTAATTTCATGCTAATATTTTTTGTTGCTTTTTATTCCATCTTTACTTGTGACTGTCAATCTACAGCAGTGAGGAGACAATATCAATTAGAGATAAAAGATATTAAGATATAAATTATATTAAAACTTCATTTGCTAATTGCTGATTTCCCAAAAAGCAAAAACCTGATTCTTTATTTTCGTTATTTATATTCAAACAGTTGTCCTCAAAGATGATGATGATAATATAAATAGTGTAAATAATTATAACTCCTCATACGTGAAATTTAGACAGAAACTAGTTCTCTTTATTTAATCTACAGTAGTAAATTGATCAAAGATATTCCACATGTAAAAATAACACCTCACGAGAAATTCATACAAAAAACCTGTTTCTTTATTTACTAAATATACTTCTTTTATTAATCACTGTAGAGTGACAGTCTGAGTAGATGTAATAAAAAATTAAGTGAAATTAAGATGAAAAAATACAAGTTGGAAATTAATAATGCTTGACAATGCTTCAATGCAAGATAACATTATAATTACTAACAGTCAAAGCATACCAGCAATGTCTGGGCTGGTACAAAAACAGACACATGCATGACAGAAGAATTGAGGTGGCTTTTACTTGAGTGGTTATGATTAGAAATCTTCCATGACAGAAGAATTTAGGAAAGATGATGGGCTGGTTATTACTTGAGCAGTTATGATTAGAAGTTTCCTACAACAAGAATTGAGGAAGGTCGACAAGCTGCTTTACTTGAGCAGTTACGATTAGAAATCTCCCACGACAGAAGAACTGATGAAGGTTGATGAGCTGGCTATTACTTTAGTGGTTATGATTAGTAATCTCTCACAAGAAAGAATTGAGTGGACATCAATTTAACGATTCCAACCAGAATTTCCAAATCACCATTCCTTTAGTAGGGTATTTTGATTTGTAGTAGCTAACAGAGACATTTTTTGCAACCAGTTTTTCTTTATATTCAATAAACCTGTTGTTAGAATTTATCAAGTGTTGTGCATTTCATTAAAGGTGTTCTTTTTTCCAGCCTGAGTTCTGATGAGCACCCGGACAAAAAGGACAAAAGTTTACTACAACTATGGACAGAGTTGTGTAATCTTTGACAGGTGTTGTGTAATCTTCAACAAGAGTTACATAATCTTTGACAGGAGTTATACAATCTTATCCATAGTACACAACATATATAAGGGGTTCACAGTAGACTTCACCATCAATCTCAACATTGTAAGATTTTGGGAAACCCGAATCAACCCAATTGAGATGACACACTGGCCCCAACCAAGGAAGGAAAAGAGAAGCCAAATGACGCTAAGGTTGGTATTGCACAACCAAACTAGCGACTAATGACTGAGAGAAAAAGAGGAGACGAGACAGAGCTTGGAGCCAGGGGAGTGTTGTGTGTGAGTTGAGAAATGATAGGTGTGTTGATAGATGTGTCAGTCATCAAAGGGGTTGTATCGATGTATCATAGGTGGGTTACAATACAATTCTAACTACTTAGACTATAGCTGGGAGGAGAGGTGGATACATACCTAATCAGAACTTGATAAACAAACTTATAAATTATAATGCATATATAAAGTGGGGATTCAATTCTATATTACAATCAATATATAAACTGATCCCTCACTTTTGGCCACAGTAGTTTCTATACATTTATATTCCAAAGAATGTAAATAAATCTAAAAAGTAAGAATTTTTTTGGAGATAATAATGGTTTAATGATACATGTCTTACTAATTAACCCATAGCTAAGGGAGAAGGGTATTTGCATGTAAAAGAATATGAGACCGACTGGAATTGGAACTTGGCACTCCAATTAACAATTCTGAATCATTATCCATTACACTACCTGCACATCTAAGCTGGAATTCCAAAACTGTCACCCATCTAGGTACTGACCAGGTATGACATTGCTTAACTTCAGTGATCATACGAGAACAAGTGTTTCAATATGGGTTCATCACAAAAGTAATTGCCAAAACAAATAGACAAATTCTTTTTCTCTTTTTTTTTTTTTAAAACATTTCAACAGAGAAATGCCAATCTAAACTGATAGGTTTTATCCCTAAAATATAGTTAAATTAGTTGGTAACTCAAGGTGCTTTCCCCACTTTTGACAATATAGTTGATAAACTAAATTATCTTTGTTATAGATAGTGGTCTCAGATAAGGTCATACATAAAATGATTACCTGATTCAGTGGAACATCATGTCCCACCATGCAGCGGAGACAGTAGATTAAGGCAGAGAGAGTTATCGCCCTTGGGGCATTGCAATTTCCATGCACTTGATGAGTTGTGCCGGTAAAGTCAAATACTGCTGATCCCTTCAGAAGGAAAAAAAAAAAAGAAAATATATATTACAGAATATTTTTTCTTATTGTAGTATCATATGCAAATTAGATAGACAAGTACAAATAGAGAACAGCTGGTGAATATAGGGTGGCTATGCCTGGCAAACCCAGTTGTTATTCAGGACACAGAGAACAGTACTACAACTACTACTTCTACGCAGATTTGCAAAACATAACAATGGCATCACTAATAATTAATAATGTTAAATTCAATGGACGACCCAGAACACATAGAAACACGGATAAGAAATTTTGCTGCATTTGGAAGAATGAAAAAATTAAGAGACACAAAGACCGACAGAGGAGAGAATGAGATAATAGATTTATTTCTTGCTACTGCTGGGTGCAAAGCTGTGAAGAAAATTTCGACAATGTGTTACCAAACCGAATTAGAAGAAATGACATTTGAAGAAATTATTAACATTATAAAAAAGAACATAAGACCAAAGAAAAGGTTGGTCATCGATGAAAGAATGAAGTTTTTAGAGACAAGACAAGCCCCCAATACAATATAATACTTACATAGATTGAAAGAATGAGCAAAGTATTGTGAATTTGAAAAATTGGGAGCAAGAAATAAATACACAAAAGAGAAGTAGAGAAAAAATAAGGATAAATGGCCAAATATTTAACATGCAAGTTGATACAGGCAATGAAGTCATGTTGATACCAAAAAATTTCTGGATAAAATTAGGATGACCTAATTTAAAAAAAAATCAGCATCCAATTAAAGCAATTGGATAGAATGACTATAAAAATAATGGGTACATTACAAGGCAATTTTGAAACTGACAAGCATTTTGAAATAATTCCCATTACAGTTGTAGAATGCGATAAAGATCACGGATTACTAGAAATTGATGTATTAAAAGTAGATAGAGTGAGACTAATCAATTCCATGGAAGCAGAAGAAAATGAAATAAGATTATTGAAAGGCAAGCATTCAACTAAAAGAAAATTATCACCCAAAATATATATAGTCAAGAAAAGATCCAATTCATATCCTATCTTTGGTAGTAGCCAAATTAAACAAAATGATACAACAAGGCATACTAGAAAGAGTAACTCAAGGTGGTAGCAATTGGGTGTCACCAATAATAGAGATAAAGAAACCCGATGAAGATTTAAGGATTTGTGGTGATTACAAGTTAGGGGTAAATCATCAGATATGTTCAGACTCTTTTTCTTTGCCAAATATTGAAACTGCAAGCAAAAACACTTTGCAAAAACTGATCTCAAGGCAGCATACAACCAAATAGAAATTGATGAGAAATTCAAGGAAATTATCATGATAAATACCCCTATAAGGCTTAAGATGGACTCATCTACTGTTTAGGGTAAAGATTTCAAGCCATATTTTTCAAAAAACAATTGAAAGAGTCTTATTAGGAAAAATAAAAAATATAATAACATACCAGGACGATATATGTGTAGGGGCAAGAATTAAAGTAGAATTAAAATATAAAACAGAGAAAATTTTAGATTAAAAAAGGCAGGAATGTTTGTAAACAAAGACAAGTGTAATTTTGACTGTAAGAAGATATATTTAGGATATCAAATATCAAAAGAAGGCATATCATCCGACGATAGACTAACAAAGAAAATAACAGAAATAGCTGTTCAACAAATAAAAAAGAATTAGAATCCTTTTTGGTGCTAATGAATTTTTATAGTAAATACATACCAAGATACAGTGGCATAAAAGAGCCATTTGCAAAATTACACAAAAAACCAAAAAAATACTGAATTTAGCTGGACACAAAAATTATCGCTTTTGAAACAGTAAAGAAAGTACTGAGGAACAAACCAAAAATAAAAGTTTTTGATCCACAAAAAGAAGTAACATTAACCAGAGATGCAAATGAAAAGGTGATTGTTGCTATTCTATTACAAGGACACCCAATCATGTGCATATCAATAAGGTTAATGTCAACAGAAACTAACTACTCGAATAGTGAAAAAGAAGCACTAGCGATTGTATGGAGCATAGAAAGGGCCTGAAACTTTTTGATAGGAAAACAAATTCTATTAAAATCGGACTACAACCCACTAGAATTCATATTCAACCCGAGAAAAGAATTGCCAAAAGTCACATCATCAAGAATTTTGAGATGGGCAATGAAAATCATAGCATTCAATTTTGATATAGTGTATGTAAAAGGGAACACTATCCCTCACGTAGATGCTTTATCAAGATTACAGTTCAAGAATGAAACAGAAGAAAAACAGGAAAATATTGAAGATAAAATAATACACTGGGTAGAAACAGACATTCTTCCTTTAAATAAACTCAAAATAGAAACAAAGCAAAACCCAATATTAAGCAAAATAGTTGAAAGGATAAATAATATATGGAGCAATTGTTCAATGGCCCTTTAAAGAGATAAAGCACAAACTAATGGGGTCATAATAGTAGCTCCACAAATACTGAGAAGGGACATATTAAAAAGAGTACATGACAATGTGCATTGTGGCATAACAGCAACGCAAAAAAGACTAAAGTTACAAGCCTGGTGGCTAGGATATTCTAAAGATGTAGAGGAATAGGTTAAGAGATGCCCAAAATGTGTGGAAATAAAAAACTTTAAGCAAGCAAAAATTCACTCAAGGCCCAAGGAAGCAGAGCCATAAGTTAGGGTCCATATGGATAACACACATATCAAAGATAGGGAATTGTTCTTAGTATTAGTGGACTCATATTCAGGATGGCCAGAGGTTGTCAGAGTAAAAGACAGAAAAGCCACACAATAAAGCAAGTACTAAGAATTATATTCTCAAGAAATAGAGTACCCTAGACAATAGTCACCAACAATGTACCCAAATTTTGCGATGAGAACTTATGCGTGTGGTTAAAACAGATTGGATACATCCCATCAAGACACCACAATATCACCTACAATCTAATGGCATTGCGGAAAGAATGGTACACACGGTAAAAATGGGATTAAAAGCATTCTCACCACTTAATGAAAGCATATCTAGCAAAAATGCTCCTCAGTTACAGATCCATTCGACATGCGGGAAGAAAACTGAGACCTTTGGCATTAATTGGAAGACAAATCAGAGCCCCCATAACTATATCCTTTGCAACAAAAGAAAAGGTATGGTAGAGAAAGAGGCTAATCCAGAAAAAGCAAATTTCCTGATACAAAACAGGACACAACATGGCTATACTTGAGAAAAGAGGACAACATATACTGGCACATGCAGATCAGTTCAGAAGCAGAAATGAACTGGATGACGTAGAAATGGAAGAACAAGAAGAGACAGAAAGTTAAAAAAGTGGAACAAAGCAGGAAATGGAAGAAAATGAGAATGAAAAGACAGATGAGTATGAAGAAAATGAAGAAAGGCTGAGATCAGCATTAAAAAGAAAACAAAAAAGACAAGAATGACAACACATTATGAAAATAATCAGGAATAGTAAAAGAAAAAACAAAGGTATACAACCTCTCCGATTCAGGGAGGTGTTGTATCGTATGCAAATTAGATAAACAAGTATAAATAGAGAACAATTGGTAAACATAGGGTGGCTATGCCTAGAAAACCTGGTTGCTATTCAGGACACAGAGAACTGTACTACGACTGCTATTATGAAGAGAGATATGCAAAACATAGCACTTATATTGATTTTCATTTAGAATTTGTAAGCTTTTTTTTTAAAAAAGAATAATTAAAAAGACCAATTTCTTTTCAAAGAAATGTTGAAGATTGTCTAAATTTCTAAGATAACGTTTACCACTATTACATAATAGAAACAGAGTACTGATAAAAAATGTCAAGTTTCTACAAGTTTAATCTAACGTGTGTGTGAATAGATAGACAGGAATCTTGAATGGATAGTCTTTAATAAATAGATAAAAGTCTTGAATAGATAGAGTATTGAAGAAATAGACAGATAAGAGTCTTGAAATGATAGAATATTGAATAGATAAGAGTATTGAATAGATAAGAGTCTTGAATAGACAGATACATAAGAGTATTGAATAGATAAGAGTCTTGAATAGACAGATACATAAGAGTATTGAATAGATAAGAGTCTTGAAAATGATAGCACATTGAATAAATAGGTAAGAATATTGAAGAGATAGGTACTATAAAAGAAGAGCTGACCGTGTACTGTGCGTGACTTTGCATGCATGTATCTAATGTATGTGTTGTACATGAGTGATTTACATGTGTTTGTGCCATTTAATGTACATACAAGAACCATACACAATTTGACAGGGTTTGACATATTGACATAATACATTCCCCTTCCACTCAGTCTGGACAACCCCTATCTTGGGATGACAAATAAATAAAACCATAGTAGGAGACAAGAAACAAAAATATCCTAAAATAACCATATATGATTTTATTGAACTTTACAGTAACAAATATAATTATTTTTTATGTTTTCCTTTAAATTTTGTAGAAATGTTTTGGGGCTTGTCATTGAATTACAATATATCAGCATGCATGTACATACCAGCAGTTTGAATGAAACTGAAATGAGCATTTGTGTAACAAAGGCTAATTTCCTTTTTTTGTTTGACAACAATCCCCGGAAAACAGGAAAAGAGTATAAGCTGAAATATGTTGCACTTTGAAGCCATTTTTATAACTCCGGTGTTTTAACAGAATATATTTCCTAATAAATGTAATATGTTAAACAAACAATTTAGATTTGAAATTTGATCATCTTGCCATCAACAAAGTGACAGGTATCAAACTAATCTTGAATAAAAAAGAACTAATATATTTTTTTTTACCTGTGGTTCATTGATATCAACATTAAGTCGGATGCAAGTCCCATCATCCATGAAGTCTTCAGAATAGAGTCTTGTAACACCGGTCCGTTGTTTTGTCTTTCTGGCAATATCTTGCAGCATTTCCCGAACGGCAATTTCTGCATTATTCTGAGAACAAAAGAACATGACTTGTAAATAATCAGAAAGTAAAGTGAATTTTATCCAAGTTCTGCACATTTCAAATCCAAATTATCTTTTGTATTTGATGTAAGTGACTACACTATAGGTAGTAACTACCTATAAGTATCGGTAAGTCAACGGACTATGAAGTCTAGCTGGGATCTGTTCCAGCTGTGCTGGTCAAACTCTCCACCTCCAGACAGAGAGGATCCCCAGACCAGGCTATGTCAAAGGGGAAACAGCTATCCAACCCCGTTTTATACAAGGTCTATGGGGAATCTTTGGCTGAGCCTATGGGCTCAGATACCAGACATTAAATTTGGCCCTGTGCCATATCTGATCGCGTGGGGTGGTTAGTAAATATACTAGCTGGGATCTGTTGAATACAAATCAGACTTACGCGAGAACTACCGACTTTCCAATAGTAGCACTCACTACTGGATTGACTTTGGAGGACCTTGTACATAACTGTTATTGTACTGCTTTTTACAATAAACTTTTACTTATTTTATCCACCATGTTTGTCAAGTATATATTTCTATTAGCACGGAATCTAACAGTATTGCTTATCAGTTTGGGAAATGAGACTCTTCCTGTGTTTTCAGTTCTCAAATAATAAATAAATAATTAGTATTTGATGCAACAGTTGCCAGCTTGGTATCTTGTACAAAATTAGAGAAATCTTAAAATTTATTGAGATCTCTTTTGCTGTGCAGTCCAGTCAACTAGATCATGAAGAGCCTAATATCTCAATTAAAAACAGAATCAACTAAGAAGAATGTCCTCTGTGTTTGATATGATTCTGCTTGAATTTGGACAAATTGTTACATGAGATTTTATAAGAAGCGCACATGTGTGTGTATGTGTGTGTATTAATATAATAATGTGTTTTTTAAAGATAAATAAATACCGCAACACACACAATGACTAAAATTCTTGAAGGAAGTATTAGGCAAATGGACCATTACCATGTGACCAAGAGTGCATATTCATAACCCTGTATCAATGCAACAGCAATGTAAAGGGTTATAGTCTCAGGCATGTGTGAATAATGTGAAAAAAAAAGAAAATATTCAACACTACATTATTATTGATTTGTATTTTACAGTTTATCAACCTTTTGCAAATAATTTAAAGCCAGAAAATGTTTTTTAAATTGTAAGAATTTTTTAGTAGGTGCTGTTTAATCCTTTCTATTGTGGGCATGGACAAGGCTTTATTCAGCAGCTGATGGCTCTCTCTTCCATTTTATGCATGTGTAGATCAAACTGACCTCCATAATTGTTTTGAACCCTGTGAAGCAGTATACTATTTTTCATATCCATAAGGGAGATCAAAATCTAATTTCATATAGAGGTGTGAACTTTTTTTTAATACAAGGTTTTCATTGGTTAGAAAATAATTTCACACTGCAAAAATCTTTTCCTCAAATTTGTGGGAATGGTGAAGGGTGTTATTATTATTTTCTAAATGGTCCAAAAATAACACATGGTAGCTAAGTTTTATGAAGCTAGGATACAAACCCTCATTTGTAGGTGGAACATTGCTATTGGAAGAGGTGGTAAATATGTTGAGAAGTAAGGATGTGAACCTGTAATGTATAGCTATATTTTGATGCATGATATGTTTGATCGTATTCATTATTTCTTATATAATAAAACAAATTACATTACTTTTTGACTCACCCTCATATAACTAATTGATTGAAAGTAACATGAATATTACCTGAATATGACCCATGTAGGCCTGTACCACTTCTAAAGAATAGTAATGGATTAATTCATGGACAAGTTGGATTCCCTAAAATAGAGAAAAACAGGAGAAAAGAAGGAAAAACTTTTTTTTAATACAACAGAAAAGTCATCTGACTAATATCTGCCAATTAAAACAAAGTATGAATCAATTACATACAATGAAAAAAAAAACAAAAAAAACAGTAGACTTGATATAAGATTTTTCAAATATTTTTAGATAAGGTGTTGTGTTAACCAGCCTAGATCAAGAAGTCAGCAAAAATACCCACTATAAGATGTGGTGTCAAAAAGGACAGTTTTTCCCCATGACACTGTTTGATTTTTTTTTTAATTACCTTCACTCTTCAGAAATGTTTATTCTTTTAAAAAAGTGATAATTTGAATTGTAATAGGACCTAAACATGAAAAATGAAAGTGAATTCATACATTTTCTTTGTTATTTACATTATTTACATTGTTCAGACTATTGTTGTCATCTTAATGACATTTTGGCTTTTGTACGCTCCAGCCTTCTTCAGATGATATATGTTGGAATTTCAAACCGAACCCTTTATTTAGTTCACAGGGGTAGATTGTTCTAGTTCCACGTGCCATGCCTTTTCTGGATGTCTCAGTTTCAGTTAATTTCCTTTAGTAACTCAATTCTCCAAGTTTTTTGTTCACCTCTGCTATGGCCAGGTATTGAACTCAAATCTCTCTGAGTCAAGTCATTGGATTACTTCAACCAGCACCTTTATCCACTGGCCTAGTGGACTAAATAAAGGGTCCTAATAATGTAAAATGTGTAAATAGTTACAATACCTCATACCAGAAACATAGATTTTCTTTGTTCTTGAGAATTGGTAACAAAAATAATAAGCACTCAACGAAGGTAGTTAAAAAAGCAGTGTCATGGGGGGGGGACAACATCCATTTGACATTCCATCTTATTGTGGGGCATGTTTGTCCATATTTGCCAAGAAGTCTTATTCCTTATTACTATAAATGTTACTTTTAGTGTTGTACCTCTTGCTTTATTTTCTTGTCTTTTGTTGGTTTCTTTTTATTATTATTAGGTATTGATATTCAGAAAACTTAAAACGATTACTTGGTTACTTATTTTTAGGGTATCATGTTACAATTATAGCCATGTGATGCAAACAATAATAGGTGCATTAGCAAGCTGAGAGATAACCAGATTCTACAGGGATTTTGCTCAGTTGTCAGTTTAATTCTGCAGAGATTTCAGATGTGAAGTCCTCACAGTTATGGTAGGTACTTTGCTGAAAACCAATTTTCAAGGTACAATCCTAACAAACTCTGTTGACATCTAACAATGGTTTTAATGATAACAAATTGAATAATTTCCAAAGTATATGTAAAGAATTGAATCTTTCCATGTAGCCTGGACAAAGTTGAAGATGATTACTTAATAAACAAAAGTATCTGAGTGCCTCATATGAAAGGCTTGAACAAATAAGACTGTAATCTAAGAAACATAAGAGTAAAGGAACTGATTAATTAAACAGTTCATTTTGCTTGGCATCTAACTCTGATTGAAAGCAGGTAAGTATTTTATTCGTATAGATTATTAAAATAACTAAGAGAAATAATCACTCAGAAATTTACTACTTATGTTGATTTACCTCATTCCCACCACAGATGGGACAGGAAATATATAAATAAATACAGATAACTATTATATGATTTGATTTGGCTTGTTCCTTTGTTATTTAGCATGTATATTATGGCTTGTAATAGCTTGCCAGTCTCCTGCCCATAAAATCTTGATATAGCAGCAGTGAACAGATTAAATCTCTAACCCATTTTTTTAAACTTCTAACAAGCCTCATTTTCAGGGTGCATTGAATCTGTATATATGTGTTTCTAGAAAGAAAAAAAAGAAAAGGGAAGATAGAGAAAGTATTAATGCCCTCATGTGTTCAATGTCTACTTCAGTGAAATGGTGTAGCAATATTCCAGCCCAAAATGATTAGTTTTAGTAATAAAAATTAGCAAAAACCATGGAATTTCCACACGCCCTATTCTATATGATTAAAGGAAATAGATCTTATAAAAACCTACTTGAAAAATTATTATAATTGATTGATATGTTTGTTTAACAGCATATCAACTCCTTATGGGTCATTTAATGCCAAAATTTAATTTTCTTGGGAGCTTTAAAGTAGTAAAAATATTGAGATGACTCATTTATATATGATGTCACAAAGACAATAAATAGCTACAGCTATTAACCATGAGGTAGTTGAGTACATACTATTTCCCAGGAGTTAGCAACACTGGTGTTGCTGATATCTAACAAACCAAATGGACATTTATCACTTGATAATTATGAATACACACAAGTTTGGCTCAGAATAGTAGCAGCTAAAGCTAAAACAAAAAAGCTAAAGTATTCAAAAGCAGTCAGAGGAGAAAACCAAATAATGAATCTCTTGTTGGCAACTGCTGGATGTAAGGCCATTAAAAATTATCAGCAATTTTGCACCCAAGACAGTTGGAAGAAATGACATTTGACAATATAAGTCCACTAATAGTGAAAAACAAAACACCCAAGAAAAACTAGTGAATGCAGAGAGAGCTAAGCTTATGATTATTTCTCAAAAAGTGAATGAACCAGTTTTTAAATATGTTCTTCATTTAAAACAGGCCACTAAATATTGAGAATTTGAGAAACTGTGATCAGAAAACCAGTCAATCGAAGAGGATTTGATCCAAATGAAATTGGTAAATGGCCTTCAAAATGAGTATCACCAAATGAATAATGCATTTACAACTGAGAAAGTTGTTACTAGAACAGCGTGTTGAATATGTTCAGTCACAAGAATTAATTAGAAAATTTAATAGAACAAAAATTATGAATCTAGTAGAGGAAATGGACACATACATAAATGTTGTGGATATCAACATCAAAGAAAAAATGTCCAACATATAAAAAAAATGTGAAAAGTATTTCAAAATGAATAATTTTAAAGATATGTGTAAATCCAAAAAGAAAAAAGTAGAGACAGTTCAACAAAATGAAGAGGAAATAAGTATGGACATCTTTTCATTGAAAAAAAAAAAAAAATGAAAAAGGATTATTAAAAACTCTAGTCAATAATGTTTTCTTGTACATGCAACTATATATGGAAGGTGACTTGATGTTAATACCTATAAATTTTGGAAGAAATTAGGAAAACCAAGATTAAAAGAAAAGCCACATCTAATTGAATCAATTTAACAGATCCAGAGATTTAAAATTTAAAGACAACATGACAACCAGTCTTTGGGTCCAGCTAGTATTAATAAAAATAAAATATAACAATGATACCTTCTGGTTAGCTGCCACTTGTGCCCGTAGATCACTAAGATTGTCTTGGAGATTTCGAGTGCCACTGCTGCCTGGAAATTTAGCTGGTGCCATCAAAGCTTCTGTAACAGCTATAAATAAAAGATCAAAGAATAAAAAGAAAAATCAGTGTGATTTTACTGCAAAGATTTTCGGTCAATGTACAATTAAAATAATATTGTGAGTTTAGTGATAAAACAAAAAATAAAAAATTACTTTAAGAATGATACAAAGACTTTTTTTAACATTGTATTTCCAGTTCCTTCTAAATTTCTTCTTCAACTCAATACTTCTAACTTCTCTGTATAAACTAAAATTTTTTACAATTTATTTATTTTTTCCACAATGAGAATAAAAAGATTCACACTCCACTCTGGTCTTTTGAACAGGAGTAGAGGTTTGTCCTCTATTTCCGATTTAGGATAGGGTTTCCTGTCTACTTCAACTCTATACTTTTAATGCCTCCACCAACACACTGAAATTTTTACTATTTATTTATTTTTACTTATCCACTATAAGAGTAGATAGTTTCCCCTATCATCCAATTCATATGCCTCTCTCATCTTTTGAACAGGAGGTTTATCTCTCGTTTCCTATTTATGATTGGGTTTTCAGTTCCTTCTAAAGTTTTTTCTTTCTTTTTCAAAGAATAAGAAAGAGAAACATTACTAAGGAGTGAGAACAATAGAAGAGTAATCAAGAAGTCAGTAAATGACAATTGACATTGCATTTAAATTTTTGAAGCTCAAAGTTTTTTGGAAAGCATGCAGCTGGAAGAGAGTTCCACAAGCAAGAAATGCAAGAAAAGAAACTGTTAGCATAAAACTTATAGTTACATCTAGCCAATTAAACTGTGAATTGATGAGACCTTGCTACCAATCTAGTACTGCACTTAAATTCATAAAATCTAGGTACCACTGTGAAGACTTCATCTGAATAATTTCCATGAAAGTACTTATAGAAAAGGCACAGGGGAGCTACATTACGGCAGTGGAAAATGACTGAAGCCAATATGCCAGGTCAGGACTATTAATATTGCTGATTCTTCTAACAATGTTTGTTAATTACAAATGAAGCAGACTTACCTTCTTCTTGAAAGACTCCTTTGGATACAAGTTTGAATGACTTGAAAACAGCTCCTTCCTGATCAAGTGATGTTGAATGTGGTGGCATAGAGCCAGGAGTAATTCCACCAATGTCTGCATGGTGTCCTCGACTGGCTACATAGAACACTGGCCGGGGCTGACCAGGGTAAAACACCTGTTGCAAGTGAAAGGAAAAGCATTTATTAACCAAGAAGAAATCTCAAAGGGACAAATGATTTGAAAAGAATATTTCCCTTAAAAGAAAAGCGAATAGTATAGCAGTTCAATAAATCAACAATGACAACAAATCACTAAATAACCTCTAGCCCTATTTACATTGTTCATGCTGTTGTCCTTATCTTTATTGTCATATTCACATGCTTTCAGCTGTTGTCCGATCTAGCCCTTTTCAGGATCTGTCTATTATTGTAACTATTTACATTGTTCAGATTGTTGTCCTCATCGTTACTGTCATATTCACAATATTTCAGCCATTGTATGCTCTACAATCTACCTGAGTGGACAAAATATAAGGGTTCAGTTCAAAATTCCAACATATATCACAAGGACAGGGCTAGAGCATACACTGGCCAAAATATTGTGAATATAAATAATAAAGATGATGACAATAGTCCAAACAATGTAAATAGTTGCAATACCTCATCTCAGAAATGTAGACAGAACCTCTAATCCTTAGTACTAAATTATGCAGGAGTATGAAACCAAAATAATAAATAATAAAAGAAAAATTAAAAGTAATAAAATTACTTTTAAATATAGATAAGAATGATAAATAATAAAGAAAAAGTGAGATTATAAAAAAATAGTTAAATGAATATGAAAACTCCCTTCATGCACCAGAACAGACATTTTTTCTGCCAATTCAAGCACAAATCAAATTTTCTTTTTTTACCTTTGACAGATAAACAAAGCAAATGTCTGTGAACAGTACTGACAGGCCTGTGGTGCAACAATAGCACATGTTACTACTAAACAGATAAGCATAAACTTTTTATCTCTGTATACGTATATGTACTTCAAAATATACAAACATTTCTCATACAAAGTATATTATTATATTTTGTTTACACTTATTGTGTTGTATCATGTATATGTTTTGTTGCAACATATATATTTCCATTGTGTGGCTGATAATATCTTTCTAACTCCCAAACAATATATATATATCTCCAAGTATAGGATTGGTGTAGGCGGAATAAATAATAAATTCCAATAACCAAAAATACTATTCTTAAAAGAGTGCTCAATACAGATTAGAGCAAATATTATTTATTCAAAAATTATAACATAAACATGTTATAAGGTCGCCACAAAAATAGCCATTTTGTTTCAACACTTCTGGTGTCTTATCAAGTGAATGTAGGATAAAGAGTTTTAAAAGGTTCAAATCGACCAAACACACCTCGATAAAGGAAACACTGTTGCATAAGCTGCAATGACTAATCAAAATACAAGTAAATGAAAATTCTAAAAACTTGGCAACGAACCTTGGTTATAATAATTAATGCCTTAATGTTAAGGTTAGACTAAAATAGAAATCATTCTAACTAATTAATATTAAATTTTGCTATAAAATAATTGAAAAATAAAAATTACCAATTGTAAATTTTACATTTAACCTGTATTAAGATTAAAATATTAAAAATTATTTAAAGAAGGAACTGAGGAAAAAATACATATATTTTATTATTTATTTTGTTTTAATCGAAAAGCCAAAATCTCAGTTATAGTCAACACTAATCTAAGATACAAATATTGTAATAACTTAGATACATTTGAAGTGATGATATGAGCAGGGAAAGAAATTTTGCAAATGACAATACATACAATTATATTATATATATATATATATATATATATATATATATATATATAACAGAAATATATTCAGATAAGGCCAACACATCACAAAACAACCCACAACAAAGCCCACATCTCTTAACCCACAGTAGAAGAACTGCAAAGTAAATATATTGTCCGGTTCACACTTCTCCCCAGTCTTTTCAACAGGAGTATAGTTTTATCCCATGTATCCTATTTATGATTGGTTTTCTGGTTCCTTCTAAGGTCTACTTCAACTCTATACACCTAATGACTCCACCTGAACTCTGAAATTTTATTCAGCAATTAAATCTTCAAGCCTAGAATTAGCTGTCTATCTTTTCAATTATTTTGCTCTTTCTTATGCAAATATAATGCTACATGTTAAGCCTTGTATTAGGTGAATATTAGTAAAAACAAAAAAAATTGTCTTACCGGCGTGATGACAGTCAAATCTGGGAGGTGGCTGCCTCCTGTATGGGGATGATTGCTTAGAATAACATCTCCATCATGGAGGTTATTTCCCAAAGCTTTCATCTGAAATAGAAACAAAAAATATTGAAATAATGATCAAGATGTGCCATGTCACTTTCAGAATGGTGGGTGATCATGGCTCCCCACAATTTCCTCTCTCTTAATCCATGTTCTGCCAGCCATTTACACAAGTTTGTTAGATAGGTTATTTGCTACTTTTCTTTATCACTCTTGCCATTATGTCCTGTGAGTTTCAAATTTTTTTAAGCCTTCATTTTTCATTATGTTCCTAGAAATTTCATTTGTCACTTTCAGATGTTAAATGTGCCTTTTGTTTCCATTTTCTCTAAAACTTCATCAGTGCTCACATGTTCAGTTCATGGTATTCTCAGCATCCTTCAGTAGTACCATTTCTCTTACTTTCAAGGCTGTTATTCATGTGTGATTAGATTGTCCAGCATTCACTGCCCTATAGAAGGACTGACATTACATAACAGTTCAGTACTCTTTTCTTTGTTTCTAATGAGATTTCCTTGTTTCTTAATACTTTGCTTAGCTTTTGAAAGGCATATTTTGCTATTCCAATGCACCTTCAGATTTTTGTGCCACACTTTCTGTCCCCAAACACTTCCCCGATATTTTAATTTTTGTACTTGTTTGATTTTGATATTTCCAATTTGTAATTCACATGTTGCTTGGTTTGGTTTGTTTTATGGCATACCGACCTCAATGGGTTATTTACTGCCAACAAGATCTAGTTCATCATTATACCCACAAACAAACACTATGAACAAACAGAAATTTCATATGTATGGTTTAAGAGATAAAAACAGAAATAAACAACCTAACAAAATAACAACAAACAAATGGAAAAACAAACAAATAAAAAAACTAAAACATTTTATTGCAATCAGCATAACAAATTGAAAATAACAGAACAATGGAAGAAAGTTTTTGCTACTATTTTTTTTTTTTTAAACAGAGGTGCTCCCTTTGACATCCACAGCTCACATGACAAAAACAGACCTTAATTTTCTCTGGCTCCATGTACCCACTTCCAGAATCAGTCAGTTATGTGCCATGTGTGATACACGCATAGGCAGATTTTTTTCACCCCCACAGTAGGTTGCCATTTCTTTCTGCGGTAGACCAGTTGCCATCCAAGGTTATAGAACCCAGTCTATCCTGCTATCTGTCCATAGCTGGGGAGAGAAGAAGAGGATTCATATCTTTCCCAAGAGTATTAGCACATAAGTGAATGTAATGGATTCGACTGGAATTCAAACTTGGCTCTCTGATTCCTTAATCCGCGCAACTATCCATTACTCCACTGTGCCTCACTGCCCCAAAATACCAAGGCCATGAAACATCTTTTCTGACCAATCAGAAAAAAAAAACCCATGCAGTTTTTCACAGCAGCCATTTTTGAGCCACTGATTCACTATAAAGCCAACACTGATTTCATCACTGCAGGTAGATCTGACCTGGATGACATTAGTGATGGACCCCACAGCAGGCAAACTTAACCAGGCCACCAGTTGTGACACCAAGACACTTACACTAACAATGAAGCTTTCAGTCAGTGATGAAACCAGAAGCAGCAGAGACGAACACCAGATAATTTATGTTGATAATTCTCCTACAAGTCTATCTCACTCGATTACATATGCATAATATTGATTTTCTTTGCATATCTTTCTTGACTACTACCGTGTATTATAATCCCTAACAGACTCCTGCTCTCCCACAACTGATATACAGCGCCCCAGAATGAGCAAAATGTCAAATCTTGTAAATCACGGGGAAATAAAAAAAAACAAAACATTTTAATTATTTCAATCACCGATTTGTTGTTCTCTTATTTCCACACTTTGTTCTTGGACCAAAAAGAATTCTCACCTGATACTGAACTGTTTCTTGCATAGCACCCAGGTGGACAGGAATGTGAGGTGCATTGGATACCAACCCACCATCAGGACCAAAAAGAGCGCAAGAAAAATCTAATCGTTCCTAGAAAGAAATTGAAAAAGAAACTTTATTTTTTTTTTATAACATTTAAATCAAGAGTTAAAGTTTAACTGTTTAAACCAACATCTTTTCATCATCATCATCATCATCAACACTTATTATTATCATCATCATTGTCATCATTATCATCATCACTATTATTAACTAAAAATAATCATAAAAATTTCAGTTTCCCTATTTTCATTTTCTGATGAATCTTACTTCTTAAGTTAATGATTGAATAAACCCATGGTAAGTTTTACAGCAATAAAAATCCATAGAAATTCCCCTATCACACCCTTAATTATTTGAGCTTAACAACTTTAACAAAATATTGCAGTAATAATCATAAATATGCATGCTGGTCATTATTTAAAAAAGGGTGTAGAAATGAAAAAAAATTGAAATTCACAACTTTTTCCATTTCAATGAAAAAGATGTTAAACAATCTTTTCTTTCATTTTCTTGCTGAAACCAAGTAGCATCTCTAATGTCTTTTCCGTCTTTCCATGTGATCAAAATGGAATAGTCCGTTATTTAGGAGGTATTGACAGGGCATAATATTGTGCTAAGTAACTAAGGGCGGGATAAGCAGAGCTATGTGATAATACTCGTTTAACCTCATTATTATTGATTTTTATCACAAGTCTGGCTCAATAAAATCCTCAGCCATGAGAGCCATCAGTGCAAAACTGGAATTAAAGAAGTATGATGGTGCCCAAAAAGTAAGGCATAAATCAGTAAGAACTGATACATTGTGAAAACTATAAGCACAAGGCAACAGGGACACAGATGCCATGACTTCTTGTAGAAGACAGAACTGCCTTAATATTGTCTGCATGCATATATATTATCAATATGAATATCTAAAAACTTATCAAAAAAAAAAAATTTCCTGCTCTTGTCTAATCATAGATATGAATTTAAGAGAGAATTATTATTAAAAATATGTTTATCCTTGGCAAGGCATAATCACCATGGTTATAGATAAATTTGTGTATACTAACCTTAATATTTGTAGAAATGGCGGTTCTTTGGAGAACTCTGCAACCAAAAATAGACAACACTTCAATCTAAGAAATGTGTAATTTTTCAAACACAAAATAAAAAAAAAAATATTTAATTTCAGAATTTAAGAGAAGCATTATCACAACTGCTGCTGCTGATAACTGATATGATGTAAGAAATTCAGTCATCCACGATTGACAGCGCTTGGCATACTGGTCTTCTTCGCAAGTTGAAAAGTTATGGTGTCTCCTGGCAAATTTTTGAACTGATTCAGTCTTTCTTATCAAATCATGAAATGAAAGTTGTCCTGAATGGCCACTCTTCTAGATCTTTCCATACTAATGCAGGTGTCCCCCAGGGCTCTGTCCTTGGTCCTACTTTGTTTTTAATTTTTACTGATGACTCTTGATGACATCAGCTCTCAACTTGGTACCTATGCTAATGACATCTGTTGCAATACTAAGTCTAATCAGTTTTATAAAGTCCAATAGGCAGCTGATCTCAAAAACAACCTATCTATTAATCATCTGAGAGACCCCTGTCTTCCATCAGCATGGCTGATACTAATCTCCAGGAGAGTGACTCATTGTGCCTTCTTGGGTTAACATTCTCAGCTGACATGAAGTAGAAAAACTACACTGAATCTATCACTAGATCAGATGCTAAGAAAGTTGGTTCACTGTGTCATGATAGACAATCTTACTCTTCAAAAACTATCATGCATTTATCATACATATCTATAAGTCTACCATTTGTACATGCTTAGAATATTGCTGCCACATATGGTCTGGTCCTCCTGCTATATATTTAGAGATTCTTGATAAAATCTTCCAAAAACAATCAGCTCCAGTTACTTTCCCACTACCATAAAGTTACTTCCCTATGCCTTTTCTATAAATACTTTCATGGTAATTGTTTGGATGATCTCTTCGATATGACATCTAGACTTTATGAAGCAGAAATTTAAGTTGTCCCTTTAGTGATTGCTGCACTTAGGACAATTTCCATAAATCTCACTGCCTTGCAAGATGCCTAGTGTATACCTGACATCATTGGGAGTATGCAGGTGGCAGCACTTCTTGGAACAGCTCATGTGCTAATAAAAGTGTTGTGTTTCTAAGCTGCATTGGACAGGATGATGGTGGTGATATTATTATTATTATTATACAGCATTTAGAAAAGAGCCCAATTTAAGAAAACTGAGATTTTGAGAAATTTTCTAGTTCAACATGCCATGCCTCTTCCGGACGTCTCAGTTATCTCCCTTTAATTGAACTCTCCAAGTTTTGGAACTATGACTCTGAACAACTTCATAGGTTTTAGTAAGTTTTGTCTTTTTACTATCTCTCTTAATCCCTGTTCTGCCAACTGTTTTCAAATTCCTTAGGTAGGTTATTACTGACATTATTTACAATTTAATTTTTTTTGTTGTGTCTCTTTCTCATACTGTCCCAACCCAACAATATACAAATTATTTTTTACAACAGTGTTGCCCTCTGTATAATAATAAACACAACTGATATTTTTGCCTGAATTTCTGAATTAGTATTATTGATATTATTTACTGCTTTCCTTTGTACCTTCGATATGTGTTATGGGATCTTACCCATAATAATAATGGACTATTCCATACTTAATAAATACTGTGCCTCAGGAGTAGGCAAAGAATCAGTAGTTCAAGTCAAGTCAGTAGTTCAAGTCGAGTCAAGAGTCGAGTCAGAGGCAGTCCGAAACAGAGTCGCGTTCAGACAATTACTGCAAGACATTGGAATAGTGATACTGGTCGAGACTACATTGTTCTCTCTACTAAACCTGATTGTTCACACTAACATGTCTACTTCTCTGTATATATTCCTGTTTGTAATATATCTGTGTTATTCCATACCAGTGTTCGAGTTCTTCTTTATTGGTTCTACCTTGGACTATCACCGTGGTACAAGGAACCGGACCATAACAATATGTCTTGTGAGTGTCAAAATCTCCAAGCCGACTTTCCTCATTATGCACCTGAGAAATTTCAGCTATTTGTTTCTGATTTTAAATACAGGTGTCCTTTTTGCTTCCATTTTCCTTAAAGACAAGCACTCATATGCTACATCACATAGTCATTGTAGAGTAATTGGCAGAAATGCCCAACAAACAGAAGTGACAAAGTTTGCAATAAGTAATAACAAAAGAAGAAATGAACAAAGCAAAAATAATAGTAAGCAGTCAATATATACAGGACAAAAGTAACCAAAGCAACAGTAACAATGCAAAAATTTCACAAAGTAACAATGGTTTTAACAAACAAAGTTGATACAGACAAGTGATTGTAGTGTTCTGACTTCATGAACAAAAATATGGTGGATGACACCAAGAAATGGCGTATCTTACTGGCTAGGAAGAAATCCCAGCAAGCATCTGTAACATTTATCTATAAATTTGTGTGTGTGTGTGTGTGGGGGGTTTAAATGTATTTGCTCTCATTCCACCCAGGATTGGGACCAACAGTGTGACACTATGGGACACTAAGCTTAATTTAGAATATAAACTGGGACAGATGAAAAGAGTTAAAAGTATGGAATAACATGGAAACTGATAGAAGGGGAAAATCTGAGGAGAATGACTTTATTGGTTTTGGGAAATGATGATGTCAGAGGTCAGGTGGAAGGTCTTAAAATGTGTTGTGACCAAGTAATTGGTTAAGAAATAACAAAACAAGAGGTTGCAGATAAATAGTGTATTGAACAGTAAATACAACAGAAGTGTGTTACACGACTTGGGAGCGTGTGTCGGTTGACCAGCATTCAGTCTATATCGGTGTTCTCTTGAGGCTTACTTTTCCTACTACTTTATAGTAAGTGGAAGAGTCCACAATAGTCTCATTAGAGGGAAGACACAACAAAATGAAAGTGCATTTCAAGGTTAGTTGAGGGCAAAGGCAGAATTGAGAAACTGATTTGTGCTTGTCAGACAGCGGAAATGGACCCACCAATTTTGGAAATGTAAACAAGTTGAGAAACAGGATTTTATCCTGTGCTGAAGGAATTGAGATAATAAATAGACCTGTAATTTTCATGAATACTCTTAAGTGAACAGATATGAAGAAAAGTGTTGCTGATGGCTGATTGACAGAAATAGCTGGCAATGGTCTTTTTCATAAACAAGACCAGTTGTCAAAAATTAAAAAGATAACAATTAATGACTAAAAGTTAAGACCGCCTTTTTGCCCATGCGGTTTGAAAGTTGCATTTGTAAAAGAGAGAGCTGAGGTGGCAGGATTAGATGAGATACCAAAAGAGATGGAGAGATTATCTCAGCCCATTTGGAAGTAATGATGTGAGGCATAAATAAGAGAAAGTGAGTTATATGGGTGGGCCAATACCCGCAACCACTACACAAAGGAAGAGAGGTTCTCCCAAATTTCAAGATATAATGAATATTATGAACCAGACAACAAAGAATTCTTGTTCAAATTAATACAGAAACTTGGGGAATCCCCAAACACCATCAACACCAATCTGGTCTTTAGTCAAAATCAATATAAGCAGAGTCAGAGATGGACAAAGACAGCAGCAGATGAAAGTTCTGCTGAAACCCACATGATTTGCTGCTAAGACAATTCCTGACTTTGAGCCCTGTATCAAAAGTTTGCACTGATAGACAAAGTGTCACTAAAGAAATTTTAGTGAGAAACCAAACTGAAGACTGGCCTGAAGAATTTTTTCATTTTTCTTTCGTCAACAAAGACATTTCTGTTTTTTTCCCCATCATAGTACAGCTTGCCGTGGTCTGAATCAGTGCTACAATTACTGACATTAATCGATCCCTACCAGCTCTGAAATCAAGAAACACAACCTGGGCAGAGCAAGGGGTAGATTGAAGTGAACAGCAACCAACGACCGTTGATTAGTGGCAGTATTGAACAGCATGGGATTGACCCTGCAATCAACTCATCATCCTGCGACCCTGAGGATCAAGACATCTTCTGTTATAGGTGGCATGTGGCAAGGGTCAGATTGTCTGGTAATTGCTGGTCAGGCTGACCTAGAATTGACCACTGGGTTAAGTGTTATACAGTCACCATCATTAGATGATGCATTTTGCCAGCAATGAACAAGAGCCTGTATTGCCTTCTTCGTCTTCTATACGCTGTTTCTCTTTACTATCCCTCCCAGTCTCTGTTCTGCCTTCCATTTACATAAGTTTCATTAGTAGTAGGTTACACCGGCAGAAGTGACCAAAATTTAATTCACACCTGTTGTTATCCTCATTTCTGAAACAGGAAGAGTTCACTGACACACCTCTTTTTCAAACACATTTTCATGTCAGATGCCATTTGCCAGATTGTCATTCAGATGCTATTTGTAACAAAGAAAAAAAAATGATGGGTTATTGGTGGGAAAGTCCAGCCTCTACTACCATGCCACCAATACCTGCCTCTAACTTTGTGAGTCAGCATAAAATAGGTAGCATTACTTTCCAAGTGACCTTTGTAGATGAGGCCAATTCAGGTTTCATTATACTATAAAAGTTATCTAGTGAATTAAAGCCGTGGTTCACATACTTTTTGCGCCATGGACTGATGTCATTCAAGATAATCTTTCCATGGACTACGTACATAACAAAACACAATAAGCAAGACTGCAATAGTCAATAAAATAGGAAAAAAAAAAAAAAAGGTTTTATTCTTTCTGTATAGCCCAGTATTGATCTGCAGCCTAGTGGTTGGGGACCATTACTTTAAAGCATCCATCAGGAACATGATGTTAGTATTTGATGGCAATGAATCTTACCGTCCCATCTGCTCTGCTATGCTCATGAATCTGTGAGAGAAGATGGAGACCTGGATGGTGTCAAGGTGGGTGCCAAGCCGTTTAGAAATACCACTACCAATCTGGAATGAAATGCACAAGTTTGAGTTGGATATTCCAAGAAGGAAAAATGTTTTAGATTTTTTTTTTAATAGTATTATTCACCCAATACAAAACCTAAGAGACATTCAAGGTAGAGGGTTCCTGAATGAGGTTGTTTTCTGGACATAAGAATTGTGGACTACAAGACTTGCTTTTATTTTTTTGCTTGAAATTGTTAATCAGAGAGCCAAACTCCAATTCTTGTTGGGTACATTATATTGACTTATGCACAAATGCCCTTAAGAATGTTATGAATCCACCTCTTCTCCCCAGCTATGGGTTAATTAGTAAGACTTTTATCACTAAAAATTACTATTATCCTACAAAAAAATTATTACAATCTAAAAATATTTTCTGGCTTTAAATAACCTGCAAAGGATTAATAAGACATAAAAACAAATCAATCAATCCACAGAGGAGTCTACAGGGTAATTGATTGATTGATTAGTTTAGTATATCATAAGGTCAGAAATATGAGATAACCAATGAGAATTGAAGATATGAATATAGTGTAGTGGTTATCAGTATGGAAAGTGAGATTGGTATGCCAAGTTCAAATTCCAGCCAATGCCTTTGCATTCACTTTCACACAAATCATTGGAAAATATAAATCCATCTCTTTTCTCCATCCCCACTAAGCTAGGGGTTAATACCAGGGCAGATTGGAATGTATAACAGTCAATCTAGGAGAAAGACAACTTTGAACACGAAACTGGTTGGGTGTAGGGTTAGACTGTGAATATGACAATAAAGATGAGGATAACAATCCAAACAATGTAAATAGTGTAAATAGTTACAATACCTCATCTCAGAAATATAGACTACTAACTCCAACTTGTGAAAACACACTTGCTACAAAAACCATGGCCACAATACTTAGCATTGTGAGGCTGTGGCTCTATAATTCACATGTGAAGTCAACAGGGTTAAATAAGAAAGACAAATGCATATATAGTAGATTCATAGTTCCCAAGATGGGA